CTGTGGAAACACTATGCAAAGAGATCTTGTATCACCTTTGAGACTCAAAGAAAGAAAGGAAGAAAGAAAGAAAGAAGTTGGCAGCCTGAGCTTTCCTAGACTTCAGCCTACTTCCTCAGATGCATCTAAAAACATACTCTCTAGTTTACATAGTCAAACAAACAAACAAACAAACAAACGTGCAGACAAATGACATCCACCTGACTATAAGGCTATATATCTCTGAGCTTGCCTCCAGAGCTCCCTCCTTCTCCCAAGGCGCTCCCTTTTAAGAGAAGTAAACAAACCCATTTCTCCTCTTGGGAAGCAGCCTTTCGGAGCCTGTTTTTCCCCGCTTTGTCCTTGCGAGGCGACGGCCTCCTTCCTAAGGCCTAGCTCCGGCCCAGAAGCCCCCCTGAGGCCCTCATCCTCGGCTGGGAGACCGGGGTCCCCCTGGGCCGGCTCTCCTCAGGCGGCTGCGCCTGCGCCTCTTCCTCGCTCCTCCTTCCTTCCTTCCCTTCTTCTTTCCTCCGAGGCTTTCTCCTGCCCCCTTTCCTCCTCCTCCTCCTCCTCCTCGCTGGGCTCCTGAGGCGGCCATGGCGCCTTGGAGAAGAAGAAGGAGAAGGGATGCTGATGGCGATGGCGTCGGTGTCGGTGTCGGTGAGGGCGAGCCCTCTTGGCCCAGGCCCGCTCCTCTGCCGCTGCTTCTCCTTCTCCTTCTCCTTCTCCTGGCGCCTCTGGCCTCCTCGTCGTCGTCGGCGCTGGGCCTCGGCGGGGCTCCAGGAGAGAGCGGGGCCCCCTCGGGAGGCTCCCGGCCGGTGGCCCTGGAGGAGGAGATCGTGTCGGAGAAGGCGGCCGAGGCGAGCCACCGGCAGGACAGCGCCAACCTCCTCGTCTTCATCCTCCTGCTCACCCTCACCATCCTCACCATCTGGCTCTTCAAGCACCGCCGCGCCCGCTTCCTCCACGAGACAGGCCTCGCCATGATCTACGGTGGGAAGCCAGGGAGGCAGGCCAGGCTTTGGGGGGCTGAGGACGAGGGGGACCCCCAGGACCCCCGGCCAGGGCTTCCTTGGCACCCCCTCTCTGGCCCCGAAGCTGGGCATCTCTTGGGGACCATTTGGAGAGGGCTCATGGTCCAAGGGGGGGG